CTGTACTTGTGAAGAGTTTTGTGATGAATGTTCGGTCGGATTAACATTGGATGTAAAATGTATAGATGAACAGACGCGTCATGTGACCACGCGTGATCTTGTTTCTTCAAATCCGCAAGTCGTTCCGGTGGGTGTAGCTTTCTTTTGTTTAAAGGACATTGGCAATAAAAAATTAGTTCTTAAAATTGTTTATATCTTGCTTAGTTTTAAAACCAGAGAACTAAATATTTAAGGTTACAGAACAGCTTTGAGTGTTCATTTTGCCTAAGATTTTTTTATTGGTTTCAATGAAAGCATTAGACTAGTTCTACTATCTGACCAAGTTTGAACGAAAAATGTTGAAAACTCGCAGAGTTATTTAGTAAAATACATTTCGCTGCAATAAGAAAAACATTGAAAATGTAATATCCAAATTGAATTTTCTCCCGAAAAATTTTACGGTAATTACTGATTTTCAAACGAGTTGTGCTCCTGCATGCGGGTTTTAACCAATTTTTCTCAAATTTTCACAGCACATAGCTAAATACGTCAGTTTCAAAATTGTGTTCGGCTTTTTTTTAATTATGGATATTTTAAAAATAAAGAGCAATTCACTCAAACAATTCAGAAATATATTGCAGTCGTCAAAGAAATCGCCATATCAGCGGATGATGAAATAAACAAAAATTTCCGAACACAATTTTTTAGAACAACTATTTTACTGTGTAAAAATAATATTTTCATAAATACAACTTAAAACCATGGGAGCACAACTCAAAAGCGTAAAGGTACCGCGATTTAAGATTTTCCTGAATAATTCTTACATTATTCTATTGTTTGTTAATTTTACAACTTTACCATATCTTGCATGCACTGGAGAACATTTGGTGAAAATGTGATGAAAATCGGACTGATATTGAGCGCGCAGTAGCGATTTTCCGCAAAACGCCAAAAAGGGTATCCTGTAACCTTAAAAAGCAGAGAACGTCTATACAAACTTATTAATTATTAGTTGTACAGGTCTGAGCAAACAAGTTGTTACAAATCTGCTCACAAGCTGTCGACAAGTTGTGTTCGTACTGCTTGTTCCCAGTTGTTGTAACAAGTTTGGAACAAGCTGTTAACAACTTGTAACAAGCTTGATGGCATTATCAGACTTGTTACAAGGTTGTTCTAACAAGTCTGATACAGTCATGATATTACAAGAATGTTACAAGGTTGACGACACAAGGTTGCAACAATATTGTTATATCATGACTGTATCGGACTTGTTGGAACAACCTTGTAACATGTTTGATAATATCAACAAGGTTGTTACAAGTTGTTAACAGCTTGTTCCATACTTGTTGACAATTTGGGACAAGCAGTGCGAACACAACTTGTTGGCAGACTTGCTACAAGATGTGAGATTTTTCGTGTGTAATATTAGGCAGCGTTTACACTGTACCGTTGTCGTAGCGTTCTCGTATTGTTCGAGAGAACTAGATTATTGTCTTGCGTTCCCTTGAGGATTAAGAACAATACGAGAACGCTACGAAAACGGTACAGTGTAAACGCTGCCTTAGAGACCTTATAAGCGGTTTGACGGCAAACGTCAAACGACTAAGAAGTTTTGGATTTTACAACTCTATTATAGCAGCTTTTACACCAGTTTTGAAATATATTGCAGAATTATTAAACTTGTGGTACCTGTATTTATAGCATTGATTTAGCAATGTCCAATGAAGTTAAGATTTGGCGTTTGAAGTTGACGTTTGGCGTATATAAATTTCATATACTTGAACTGCTACGAGGGCTTGTAGTCGTTAAAGCATGAAATTTATACGCCAAACGTCAACTTCAAACGCCAGATCCTGATTTACTGCTTTGGTGAATACATGACTAGTGGTTAATTTGCTTTCTTAAATCATTGCTAAATAGCACGAGTTTAATAATTCTTTAATATATTTCAAAACTGGTGTAAAAGCTACTATTATATAATAGAGTTGTAAAATCAAAAACTTCGTTAGCAGTTTGACGTTTGCAACGAATAAATATGCTATACATTTCCATAAAATATGATTGAATACCGAAAATAACCGAGTAACCTGGTCTTATACAATTTTCAGGCAACTTCCAGAGATGATAATGAGGCAGGGGATGAGAAAGGTATGCTTAAAAAATTAAACAAATAATATAAATTATAAATCTACAGTCTTCTGTCGTTCATAAAAAAAACTAAAGGTATAATTTTTCCGTAGATATCTTGATAGTGAAACTTCGAAAAGGACAGGTATGGCTACCATAATGTTACCCGAATTTTAGACGGCAACTCGTTGACATCTCAACAAGTGGCTGTCGGAAATTCAGGCTGCCATTAATGTTGTTTTGTCTAAAACAAGGCAGATTGTAAATCTCAGTTTGGATTTTATTGCTGTCGGAATGATTTGCATATTTTATATTCTTCATTTTAACAGGAACTGAAGTTGCGTGCTTTTGCAAAGAAAGTAAGTACAACCAGTTCTGCTGTTAAGTAGTAATGGTCCAAACATCTTTTATAATGGAGAACTTGCATGTTATAGACTAAATTTTAATCTAAGTAAAGAGAAGGGAATCAAACACCACAGCTGAAAAGAACATTGCAAAATTTCGTTGCGAAATGTTGTAAAATTAACTTTGAAACAAATGATAGCGATATTAATTTTATTTTATTACAACGACGTTTCGATGCTGCTTGTATCATTTTCAAGTTAAAACTTGAAAATGATGCAGAAGCATCGAAACGTCGTTGTAATCGGCTCAAAAGTGGAGTAACAATTTCCGCACGTAATACAAAAATATACAAAATATGCAAACTTCGCAAGGCTATATTTTCCGTATTTTACAATATTTTGTAACCAAATTTTGCAATTTTAAGAAGTTCTTTACGGGAATTTACTTTTTTTGCCTAGATCAAAAATTAGTCTAACATGCAAGTTCAAAGTTGTCTATTGAAATTGAGTCCATCTTATTTTCAAACCAATTTTTTTCCCATTGTTTTTACATTTTTAGGGATTTGCCAAAGAACACGCGAAGTGGAATCCCACAGCAGGCGTGGCGTTTGAATACGATCCTGACAACGCCTTAAGACATACGACATTTCCCAAGGTGGAGGAATGGTGAGATATCCCTTATTAGACGGTTTTAGATAACAAGACGCGGACGTCAAGAGGACGTGGATGTCGTCATTTGGCGCCAACTATCGTCAGCTTCTAGTTTGCGACGTCGTCTTGGACGATTTCACGACGCGAAAATACAATTTTCACGTCCTCTCTAGAACGTCACAGATTTTTGCTTCTTTTGAAAAAAATATGAGACTATGCATAATAAAAATCATCCTATTTTGTTCCCCGTGTATTGTTTAATGATACTAGCTAAAGTTTTTCCATTGACAAGGTTGTTTTTCTTGTATTTCGCTAAATTTTAGACGAGTTGATTTTCGACAAATACTTTCGGTCGCCATAAACAAATCAACAAAACTGCAAGCATTGTTAATAATCACTTCAATACCGCTAGTAATCTTCACCAAAACAAATATTTTAGAACAAACTAAACTAAAGTTATATTAACAACTATTTAAAATCAGGAAAACGTGGGAAAATAGAAAAATAAAAGCACTTAAAAGCAGTAAAAACTCAATCAATTTTAGTTGCTCTGTCACAACAGTGCAAAAAGTAGGACATGCAAAAAAACGCTTTCCAGCGTGAAAAACTATCGTAAACAGTATTAAATTTTACCGATATAAACACTGATGCTATATTTATACTGAACAGTTGACAAACTTGATTGAATAGGCTACAATTAGCTCGTAAACAATACTTGCAGCTGTTGTATTTATTCCAAATGATGCAACAAAGTTCACTTTTCAAAATACCAAAAAATAACCCTTTTTTCTAAAAAAAACTTATTGAATGTCCATACTAATTCATCAGGAAACACTTGCCCAGTATTATATAGCCTTTTCTTGCACATATCTTGACAACTGATTGAAAACAATACAGGAATGAACAGGTAACAAGAAAACAAAAATTTGCTTCGAAAAAGACAAACAGCCGTCCCAGATTAAAACCCGGAAGTGAACGCGAGGTGCATACGTCATTTTCACGTCCTCTTGACGTCCGCGTCTTGTTATCTAAAAGCGTCTAATATCCATTGGTACACCCATTCACCATCGTATTTCCATCATCTTCACAAGATGGCATCAACTATTCCGCTGACCTCAGAATGACATTTCGTCAAAACTTTTTTCTTCAAGATTGGTTTAGAAACAAATTTGGAGTAGGGTTAGGTTAGGGTTAGGGTTTGGGTTAGAGTTGGTGTTTGGAGTAGGGTTAGTGTTAGTAAAACCGTTGCTTTGTTACGTTTTGTCACTCTGAGGCCAGCAAAATAATCTCTTCCTCACAAAATTGACGTTGATTTTATCTTCCGAAGATTGAGCCAAAAAGTGCCAAAGCTTCATTCTAGCATTTCTCTTTAAAATTTTTAGGCCAAAAAGTGAATACACGCAATTGGAAGAGGACGAATGTGAGTATAGAACTTGTTTTGTTTTGTTTTCATGGAAACATCAACCTAGTACCGAGTCTCTGGCTAATACCCAGTACTTCCCAATAGTATAGCCAAAGATTAGATATTATATAATACCTTATTGAATTCTGATCGTTTAATTGGCTGTTTATGGTCACGTGATACTGAATAGAAAATTCCATTTCCCAAGAGTGCAATGGAATACGTTCCATTGCACTCTTGCGAGTGCAATTGTACTATACGTTTTATTCCATTGCACTCTCTGTGCCTTCGATAAATCGCATCCGTCAAAATGCTTCTCGTACGGTGATCGCAGTTTATTTTAACCCGATATTCGAAACTTAGTAAATGGGGTTTAATGCAAATAGGACTCTCAAAATGGCGGGAGCTTACAATAAACCTTTTAATATTAGTCTATTTTGGTATTATATAAAACAAATAATGAATGTTTTTATTCGTGCAATGGTAAGAATATTTTCATTCGGTGAAAGATGGAATGTTCCATTCAACTCGGCTGTCGCCTCGTTGAATGGAACATTCAATCTTTCACCTCATGAAAATATTCTTACCATTGCACTCACAAACATTCATTATTTGTATACTATAAAGATGTGCCACTCGACGTATTTCCTTAATGTTTGCGTGTCCGTAATTTTCACTTACTGCCAAAATGGCGGCAAGACTGATGGCGTTAGATTTTACTATTTAGAGACTGATGGCGTTGAATTTGACACTTACTGGCAAAATGGCGGTTTTAAAAAAATCTCGGGCATAATTTTCTCAGAGTGGCACATCTTTATAGTATCTAATCTTTGGTATAGTGCTCAGTGGCGTGCTGGGTACTATTTTTCTGGGGGGGCCAGTGGGCTGTCAATAAATATGCGCCCCTATAATGTTTCGCTTGATAAACGAGGGCCGAAGGCACGAGCCGAGCGCCGCAGGTGTGAGGTTTGTCTACGGGGGGAATTTTTGAATTTAGAGTCTCTGTAATGACAGAAATCTGATGGTCAGGAAACGGCATTATAACGTGTCGAAATTTGCAATTTGGTTTGAATTTAGTTGTAGTACTTATATTATGCAATGCTAACAACTTCCAGCGATTAATCTAACCCCAATTCTATTTTCTACTGATCTAGTGATCTGAATACAATTACAACATACAGCTCTTTTATACAATAACACACGGACCCCACGCATATGCATTTTAAGGTTTCCCTGCCTGGCTGCCAAAAGGGCGCGTTTCAGCATTATTTCATTACTCACATTACTCCACGATGTTTCTGGCGCAAACAACTGAACTGCGTACACAACTTTACATTATCATAACTTAAACTATCTAATTTGCGCCGCTCTTGTGATTCGTGAAGCATAATAAAGGGCATAATACGAGCAAAAAAGGGCATAATTTCCGTGATCGCTTCGAAACCTGACCAATATTCCGGTAATGAGACATTGCGTGTGATCACAGTTCAATACATGTTTCTATATCAACGATTTCGTGTGAGTCGTGAGGTATCAAATTAGCAAACTATATTTTTTCGAATGCGTTTTTTCCCACCCACTTTCGAAACTCGGCGCGGGATCGGCGCCCCCTTTTCATTTTTGCGCCCTGCAAGAATTGCCAGCTGGGGGGGCCGTGGCCCCCCGGCCCCCCTGCCAGCACGCCACTGATAGTGCTGTGCGCCGGAGTTTTGGTTTATTTTGCCATGCAGAGCTGGAGTTTGTTCAACTCCGGCGAAACTCCTCACTTACTTGTGCTGCAAACTACTGTCGGGCATCGGCGAAAGTAAATACTCGCATTGATACTGCATAGGCTTGCCACAAACGTAGTACGAAATGTTCATGCGAAA